TAAAACTGAATTTTCTACACCTAAAAATTGCCCTTTTGGAAACACTTTGCGCTTTTTTGGCTAAATCTTCGCGAACCGGAAACGGTTCCGCTCGAAATAGAAACGCGTCGTTTTGTTTCTTCCACATCTAAATTTTAAAATTCGATTAAAATTCGATTTTTTGAAAATTAAGGTAAAAATTACGAGATTGAGAACTTCCCGATACTAAAAAGGATACGTTTCTAAACATTTTGCGCTGTTTTTGACCACCTTCACGAAGCGGAAATCGTAAAACCTGAAACTGGAACGTGTCGTTTTATTTCCTCCATTTATAAATTTTTGTAAAAATGAGGTTGAGCAAAAAATCCCAAAAATTGGTACGATTCGCAACGCCTTATGATCCTTCGTCATTTCGTCGCCAAGCGGAAATGATAAGCTCGAATTTTACAAACAAAATCGATTTCCATAAATCAAGTTTAACATTTCCGGCGGCTTCGTGAAGGAAGATGAACCGCTCATATTCTCCGTATTACGAGGATTCTCTCTCGACAAGATGGCCGCCGCGGTGTTGCACAACGAGCTTCCAATCCTCGACGACGGTGAGGAGCCCGAGGTCATCGAGGTATCTTTTGGCTTTATAACTTTAGTTATTATCTATCATTAGGTTTCGCCAGATGTCGAGGAGCTGGATTTGACCCGTTGCCGTATCAAGAAGATCGAGGACTTCGACTTTTTGAAGAAGGCACGCAGATTCGCTGAGCTTTTATTAACCTTTGCTTTCAGATCAGCTTCTTTTGCCTGCGCTGGAATTTGATCAAGAAGATCGAGGGGCTCAGCAATTTGACCACGCTCACCAAGCTCGACCTCTATGACAATCAGGTAACTTTAGACAGATTTGTTTTTCTTGTATTTCTTTTTCATTCTTCTTCCAATAATATTTATCGTTTGGTAAGAGTCTAGAAACCCCCCCCCCCCAGCCGGCACCAACTTTTGTATCTCGGCCCCCCTTTGTGCTAGCCAGCTCTAAAGTATACCAAATGTTCGCCGGAGGCTAATTAGTAAGACTACATTGCAGTTGAGTCGAAAAAAGAAGCGAAAAATAAAAATAAGGAAGGTAAAAAAGTTGAAAAGTCGTGGGGGGGGGGTTTCCTAGACTTGAGCCTATCGTTTCAGATCGAAAAGATCGAGGGTCTGGAGACGCTTGTGAATCTCGTCGAGCTCGACCTCTCTTTCAATCGCATCCAAAAGCTTGAAGGTTGCTTTTCGCTGCTATTTTCACGCTTATTGTTAGGCCTCTCCACGCTGGTCAACCTGGAGACGCTCTTCCTGGTGCACAACAAGCTCGAAAAGATTGAAGGGCTGGAAAACGTTCGGCGTCTTGTTTTTCGGGTTCAATTTTTCTTTCAGTGCAAGGCGCTGGAATACCTGGAGCTGGGCGACAACCGCATCAAGAAGATCGAGAATTTGGAGAACAACATCAATCTCCGCCGGCTGTTCCTAGGCGCCAACCAGATTCGCAAGATCGAGAACGTCGGCCATCTGCTCTACCTGGACGTGCTGTCGCTGCCGGCCAATATTTTGACCAAGATGGAGGTGATTTGCCGCATTTTCCTAAAGATAATTCGTTGTGCATTAGGGGCTCGACGAGCTGCCGCATCTGAAGGAGCTCTACCTGGCGCAGAACGGAATCCAGCGTATCGAAGGGGTCGCCGGCCTTCGCGACTTGCAAATCCTTGACCTCAACCACAACCGGTACTTTTATTGTTTATTTGTCTAGATTTTCTGTTTTTTTTTAAATCGTTTACTCACCCTTTTTTAGTCTCGAGGAGGCCCGCGGGTTCAGCCACCTCCAGAACCTCACCGATTTTTGGGCCAAGCAAAATAAGGTACATTTTCCCTTAATTTTCAACCCTTTTGATTCAGCTCCCCGACTGGTCGGTGGTCGACGAGGAATTGGTGTTGCTCCCCAAGATTGACCTCGTCTACTTGGAGAACAACCCATTCTCCGAGAACGAGGTAAATGATTTTCTTTTCCTAAACCTGAGTCTCCTTTTTCAGGACTACCGCCCGCGCGTGATCCGTACTCTGCCCACGATCACTCGTCTCGATTCCGATTTCTGTCGGTAGGGATTCGGAAGCTGGTCTCATGCTCCGTTTAGTGCTCCGAGCCAGAACAACGAGGATGAGGATGAGGCCGCCGCCGTCTAGCTGTTCTACCCTTCGTCGCCGCCCTGCACTGCATGAATACGAATTCCCCAGCTACATTTCTAACATCTCGATCTGCTGTGTTTTTTGTGTGTTATTAATCACTAGGCTTTTGCGGGTGTCAATAAATCTTCCATGATTTTACCTTGTTTTACAAACAGAATCCGCGAAACCAGGACCCGTTTATTTCCACGGCAAAGATATGGCAATCGGAATATCATCTGGATACGGAGAGATTAAAGACATCGGCAGTGGGAAGTCGGCGAACGGCCAGAAGATCATCAGGGGCGTGTAGGACACGGAAGGGCGCTGGTGGCGCCTGAAAGTAATTATCAACGCTAAGCGGTTTTGAAGAAGCTGCCATACCGCGTCGCCGGATCGTTTTGGCGGAACTATGCGACGGCCTGTCGAGCCGGAGCTTGATGAATCTGTGGCTCCAGGAGGTGGTGAACGGAAGGCAGGCGATATTTCTAAATTATTGTTTGGGTGAGCTCCGTAAGTTCTGGGCGAAAAAGTTGGTTTTTCAGGTAGATTCTTATCCGAAAAAGATTACTCGTTTATCGCGCTTTTAATATAGATATTACTAGTTATCAGTAGTTACTGTAGTTTAGGTTATAAAATTTTTCACGATTCGCACATACCTTTTCTTGCTCGCGCCTCCTGCGCATTTCGATCAAGCGAACGACCGCGCTGCCCGAGCGGTACTGTTCGGTGACGTCGCAAATCGTTGTAGCTGCGCTGACCTGGAACCCAAAATTAGAAAAATTAGCAAAGCGGAATTTGGAGCAACCTGGCAAGTGCATACCAATATATCCACCTCGCACCCCATCCCGAACCACTTCCACAGCTCCCGGAGCTGAAAGATAAAGCTTATTAGTAATTTTTTGCTTTCAATGAGGACGTATTTTTCAAAATAATTTACCCTGATTCGTTTTCACCGTTCCACGCGCTGTATCGATGAAAATCTGGATGGGTTGTGTGGAAACCGAGGGTGCGGAGATGTAGCTTGGGACCGGATCTAGTAAAAAATGAAATTGAAAGCTTTTTGGGATACCATTCCATTCCTCTGCCCTGGGCTTGGCGCGTTTTTTCGAAGCCTTCTTCTTCCTAAACGTGCCTCCTTTCACCGGCTTCTTCGCGCGCTTTTTTGTCGCCTTCCGTTTTGCACCGCCTGTAAAAGTTTTTATTCATTCTTTAGCCTTTTTATGGGTCCAAAAGTTGATTACTACACGAACCGTATGTTGGATGTCGTCCTGGTACATGCACCGGGGCCACGAACTCATCAGCGGAGATCGGCCTGATGGATTCGGCTTCATCTAGGGGGTTTTTATAGAGCTGATGATTACGATATCATGAAATAGCATAAAAAACTACCGTATAATCTAGAATTTAAAATTTAATGAAATTTTATACCGTATCCGTACTCCCATTCCCGTCGCGGCAGATTTCCGGCCGAGTGGGGTAGTGGTTGTACCTGAAAAGTTGGCGCATCAAATGGTAAACGGGATGAAGCAGCTAGTTTTTATAGATCTAAATATTTTATAATTTTATATTTTATAGATAGATTTTTTAGATTCTATCCAGATTCTTTACCGTGATCACCGATCCGTTGCGTCTACTGGTGCGTCGTGTAGTCACCTCCGATCGCCGACGTCCCCTAGTGGTTGTTCGGGGTCGATCTTCAAGCGATAGGTCATCGAATGCGTAGCCTGAAATGTACGGAACTTTACTAAGAGCATAAATAGTAGCGAAAACTTCAAGAAGGGAATTTTTCATACTGTGTCGTCGGCCTTCGGTATGGTGACTCGTTGATCGGCGCTGAAGATTTGGCGATCCTTCGCCTGACCTCAGCGAGATCGGCGTCCAACGATCTAAAAGTATCTATTTTTTATTTTACCACTTCCCTAATCAAAAGGCACGGCTAGGAAAATCGGTACGCGGCGCTCCGATGCACGCGGAACTGTCCACGGGCGGTGTAATGTGTACTCTCTAAGCGGAAAGATGCCCTATTTTTGCTATAAATCACGCTTTATCTTGAAAGTTTCATAGAAAAATTGAAAAACAAAATATGTTAAAATGTTCTACGAACCGTCCTTTGAGCCCAACGTACCGAAAAACTTTTCTGGTATTTTTTTGTGATTGGGATTTGAAGTTTTTCCCTTGTTTGCGTGTTTCTTGCTAACTTTTAGCATAAAAATTATGTTTTGCCTCGTAAAATCATATTTTAGCCTGTAAAGCGCTTAACCAGCCAATTCTAATGGAGAAAATCACCAAAAAAATGAAATTTTACCACAAATCATGATTTTAACAAATTTTTTTTGACTTATATCCGGATTAACTTTTTAAATGGAACTCCGCAGCAAATTTGGAAACCGGGTTCGGGATCAGCGAAAAATTCTGCACAAGATGTGAACTTGGTCCCAAAACGAAACCCTTGAGTCAACACTTTACAGTAAGCATACCATCACAAATTTTGCCATCCCCGCACAGCAAATCGTCCAGCGAGTGGCCCCAGCTGCTATATGGCGATACTGTAATTGACTGGAAATATACGTTGTTTTTTCTAGAACTTACATGCTTTATCTTCCTGGTCTTTCGACTTTTTGTTGCCCATTTATGGGCACGAATCGAAAAGAGATGGGCGTAGGATAGTAATTCTGATGACAAATTTAATGAATAAAACCGTGGATGCTGTAAATAAGGGCACAGATTTGAGGAACAGAGTGTGACGGGTTGCAGATGCCCTCGCCTAAACAATAGAATACCCGAGGGCAGCCTGGCAACGGCGCGCGCTAACAGGTGCCGAATTGTTGGCCAAGGGCCATTATTAGCCGTAAGGGACCAGAAATTTGTTGGTGATAAATTTGAGCGGGGAAATGGAGGATCGGTAAAAATCCTAAGCCTAAGCCTAGGGCTAAGCCTAAGCGTTAAAGGGCCGGACAAAGCATGACCATGGATTTTGTTCGCTACGGAACCCTTACGGTATTTCAGCGCTCGCTAGGCAACTACGCAACGGCTATTCACACATTTATACTGCTTAACCGATTCCAGGCTTGTCATTTTTTGCTCAAAACGTAATCACTATGCGTTGCCGGTTATGATTAACTACCGGAATTTTGGAATATCGGGGTTTGGCCTGTCGGCATTTTGGCTTGTCGACTTTTGGCCTGTCGGCATTTCCCCTGTCGACCTGAAATGTCTGCATTTTATCTGTCGGTATTTTGATCTGTCGTTATTCTGGATTGTCGGCATTTTCGCCGTCGAGATATCGCCGTCGAGATTCTGGCTTTTCGAGATTTGGTCTATCGGGATTCTGTCTAGTCGGCGCTTTCCTTGTCGAGATTCTGGCTTGTTGGGATTTCGGTCTGTGGATATACTGAATTGTCGGCATTTTCGCCGTCGGGATTTTGATTTGTTGATCTAATATGTCGGCATTTTGGCCTGTCGAGATTCTGGATTATCGGCATTTTCCCTGTCTGGAGTTTGCTGTTGGGATGCTGGCTTTTTGTCATTTTGGTCTGTCGAGATTCTCGCTTTTGGGGATTCTGGATTGTCGGCATTTTTTCCTATCGAGATTCTGGCTGTCGAAATTTCGGTTAGTCGCAATTTCGGCCCTTCCCACCCCTAATTTCCTAATGATAATCATCACTTTTTGATGAGTCAGGGGTGTAGGCGGATTTGCGAGAGACGTGCAAGAGAGAGAGAGAGGGGGGATGTGGGCGTGAATCGAGTGGCGGGGGAACACTGACTGCTGCTTCTGCTGCTCTGTTTGTGGCCGAGGAGGACAGTTGACGGGGGATGGTGGCTGGGGCTGGGGGCTTGTGTGTGTGTCTGAGGCATCCGCTGATCGAGAGCTCCTTGCCTCCCCCCATTTCTTTTCACATCCACACCCTGGGCCCTCCCCCTGGCCTCCTCTAGGGGGCCCTACCTCTCATTTCACTCTCACGGCGGCTGATCAATCCATTTTTCGGGAACGCCGCTCATCCCTCTCCATCAAGTTCAAATCCTATATAGCGATTTCGGTGGGAATTACAGTAGGACGAGTTTTCCGCAGTTTAGCTTCTTCTTGTTTTACAGTAACTCTTTTAGCTTGGCTTTAAAACGCACGTACCGGATGTCATACTTGTAGAATGAGCATTTTCGTATCCCTCCCTCCCTCCCTCCACCCCCCTCTCTCTCTCTCTCTCTCTCTTTCTTTCTCTCTTTTTCTTGAAACTTCCTACGTAAATAGGTGCATACGTAGTAATGAGCTGGGTCTTGGAAATCTTTAGAAATTCATTTTCCGTATTTTGTATGCCTAAATGGATACGGTAGATTGCCTCTTCATGTAAATTACGCGCTAGGAAAAGACGACTTTTTAATGGGTGTGTTTCTTGAGGTATACAGCTTAATTTACGATACCTATTTACATTTGGCCGTGCTGCTAGAATCACTACAAAAATCGTACCTTATGATTTGCGGATTTTTTGATTTTTTCGTGCTTCTTGAAGTCTAATCATCGGCCAAAGCCTATCCCTAAGCTTAACCCTAAGCCTAATCTTAAGCATAGACACCTATGGCCAAGCCTAAGCCTTAGCCTGATCTAAGCCTAAACTGAAGCCTAACTCAAAACCAAAGCCTAAGCATGAGCCTAAGCCGGAGCCTAGGGCAAACCTACGCCAAAGCCTAAGCCTAGCCTACGCGCCAGCCTTAGTTGAAGCCTAAGCCTAAGCCTAAGCATCAAAGCTAAGCCTACGCCTGCGCCGAAGCCTAAGCCTAACCTAAGCCTAAGCACACGTAAAATTCGGTGACCACGACGCAATTTTCAAGGGCCCAGTTTTCAATTTTCTCAATCTTTTCAATTCCCGTATTTCAAATTTTTGAAATTTATGGTAAAAAATGCGCCCGATTTAGATAGAAAGATGCCAGCCCCAGCAGCAGACAACGCCGCCCCAGCCCATGCCGGTGAGCAATAATAATTTGCAACTCGCGGCGGCTCCCCTCCAGAAACCCGCAAGAAGGCGCCGTTTTTGTTTGCATATCGTTATGGCGGGAGGGGGGTGCTTGGGGGTGGTGTGTGGCAAATATTGCCCCCGGGATTAAGCCGCCAATTTCCGCCCTCAACAAACACTACAAAAAGCGCCGCCGGGAAAACGGCAATAACGGCATATGCGCGGCGCGACACACCCCAGATAAATATATACATGCACAAATGTCGCAGCGTAAGTCCGGCTTTGCTTGTTAATACTGTAGATTTCTGGGTTTTAGAGCCGCTGAAGATTGCCGTGGTGAAGCCGGAGACGACACAGGGCGATCAGAGGAGGACGAGGTGAGGAGTGCGGTTTTTAAACTTGACTTAACTTTTTTCTTAGCAATCAATTTTTTTAAAATGTAAATAGCAAACGTGTTGATTAAACTGTTTTTTTTTACTATCCATAAACGTAAAAACTTTACAAAATGCTATTAAAAATACATAAATATCGATTTTTGGAAAAAATGGCCATTTTAGACCAAAATTTAAATTTCTTGAAAAACGTTGTAAAATGAAATAGTTTAAATAGTTTTTCTAGTGAAAATATGGTTTTAGTTTACTAAAAACATTCTCAAAATAGTTCCGATTAGGTTACTAGACATTTCTAGCTTAATAAAAATTTTTTTTTTCTTCCCCCGATAATGCGATAGAACCTATTATAATTTTACAACTAATTTGTAGCTATATTAATTTTTTTAGAAACGGAAAATTGCTGATAATTTTAGTTTCAATGCGTAGTTTACTATCTAAAGTATTTTCGTCTTAGAAACGGAAAATTCACGCTGGCTCAACTCCGCCAAACCGATGCGCTTGTCCCGCTCCAGTCTGGAACCAATCAGTTCGATTCACAAAAGGTGAGCGGGTATAGAAAATTAACGACAATCACGGATGTAGAAAATCTCGCATTTAAAAAATAAGAAAAATACAAGATTTAAATGGTACTATTGTTAATATTTTCAAGCTGACTCGCGTCCTCCGGAAAAATATTTAGAAACCTTAACAACCCGCGCTAACACAAGCTTTCTCCCGCTTTTTTCGCCGATCCAAAATCAGCATAAACCTCCAGATGTAGTTTGAGGCAAAGCGTTTTTTTTTGTTTATCGATTTCCCATCTAACCACGCGGGCTGCAGGGCAAGACCGGCTTCGGCACGCCGCGCAACACCGCCACAAAGGTCGTCTGGAGCGAGGCGGACAAGAAGTGGGCTGTGGAAGAGACGAAGAACGATCCCGTCGTCCGGCTGCAGTCCGGCACCAACCAGTTTGACTCGCAGAAGGTGTGCATCGGGGGTGTTGAGCTGGGGTGTTGGCAGGATTAATTGGCTGAACTCCAGATGACCCCGTGGCCGCTATAAACCTAACGCATCTCGGCTACTTTTTATCCTACAGGGCTGTGAGGTATACCAAAATACTCGCCAGACCAAGACGAACATTTTGGTATACTTTACACCTCTGTACGATAAAGGGCAGCTGAGATACCAAAGTTTGGGGACGGCGGCTGGGGGTCAACTGGAGACTTACGGACTTATGAGGTTTTTAAGGTATCTCGGGTGTCGTGTTTGCCTTTTTGTCCATTGTCCAATGTCGTACTGTCCATCGTACAGTCCCGTCCTCTTCCAGGGCAAGACGGGCTTCGGCATGCCGCGCAACACACAGACCAAGATCGAGTTCGGCGAGGCCGACCGCCGCTGGATCGTGCACCCGCTCCGGAATGACCCGGTCGTCCGGCTGCAGTCCGGCACCAACCAGTTCGACTCCCAGAAGGTGTGCCCTTGTGTTTTGGGTGTTGTTCAGCGTAGCCTAACCGTGTAGCACTTTTTAAGACGTTACTCCTGCACCCCCCCCCCCCCAGCCGGAAGTCCCCAAAATTTTTTCGCTATAACTTTTTTATATTACATAATTTTCGGTTGTCATTAAAAAGTTTAGTAGATTTTTTGATGCTCTATCGAATAAAATATCCAAAAACCCGATAAAATAGAGGCCGTGTCGAAAAATTTTCGGAACTTCCGGCGGGGAGGGGTGGGGTAAAGTAAAGTCTAGCCCTTTTTAGTAATTCCTTAGTGACAAATTTACTTGCATGTCGGAATCATCGTTGAATGTTGTGTGTCCAGGGCAAAACGGGCTTCGGCATGCCGCGCAACACAGCCACCAAGGTCGAGATGGCCGACGAGGGAATCGAGCGCCAGTGGTTTGTCGAGCCGGAGAAGAACGACCCGGTCATCCGGCTCCAGAGCGGTTCCAACCAGTTCGAGTCGCAGAAGGTCAATTTTTGTGGGGGCGTTTTGTTGGTCTGTGTCGTTGTCTTAGTCAAAATGTCTAGATAGGTTGGTTGTTTCGCTTAAATCGGTTGGATTTTTTTGTACCGTCAAAAATGAGTTTTGGCTAGCTGCTTCCGCTTTTTCCTTGCCGCCCACTGATTTGTAGCTGATCAACCACCCCCTAATCAATCGTTCCCCTCATGTTGCTATTTCGAATCCGGGCGAAAAGCCTGGATGAGAGAGGGGAGGCTAGATGTTTGTCGCTTCGGGGGGGCATTCGGGATGACGGGTCTCCTGAGGGGGGACGGAAAGGGGGCAAACAACGACTGTTGAAGCCGGGGGTAGATCCCTGAAGGCTTGAGGGCCACGTCCCCTTTCCCCCCTTCTCAAGTGGTCACGGATATCGATCATAATCAGGGGGTGAGAACGGGGGAGGGTTTTTGAAAACAAGCGTTTTAAGTTAGAGCCGCGGTAAGTTAAGCCTACCTAAGCGTAAACCTAGGCAAAAGTCTAAGCCTAAGAAGCCTGCGAATGCTAAAGCTAATTAAGGTAAAAACGAGGGGTAAATTGGACTTTAGCCGTTTAAATACCCTAAAACCAGAGTATAATTCCCCTTCGAGTATAGTTACGGATCAAACGTACGTAGAGTTCGTAATTACATATCACCGAAAATAGATGTGTTTCGTTTTTCGTTTTCTTGCAAATAACTCGGTTTGTGAAAGGTATTTTTGCAATTTAGCTTGTAGATTTGCTCACATTTCGACTATTTCCAACATTTTGAGTGTTTTAATGAAAGAAATTGATGCAGGCAATCCGGAAAACCGCTTCTTTTGTCTTGCATAGCGTTTGCGGCGAGTGGGCGTGTACGCACCTTATTAGAGCGTCATTTGTATTGGTACGTGGCCAACGTGTACCGGAACCATACCCGGGATTTCAGGGTAGCCGTTTTCACGCGATACCTTAAAGCCACCGTTTAAGGCAAAAACCAATCAATTTTTTGGGATAGACAACCTAATTTTTTCATGCACAAATTAATCAACCACGCGTTTAAAAGTGCATGATAACAATTTTCTCTAAAGATCATTAAGTTAGGGTAGCTTTCAAAAATTAAGCTTTAAAATTCGGTCTAGAACTATACCTCCGTTTTCGCTAAATCTCTTTCTCGACTCCTAAGAAAAGAATTTGGTTGTAGTAGCAAATTGAGCGTTTGTCCGCTGGATTACATTACCTAGCGAAGAGCGATTAGCAGCCTCCCGGTCCATACCTCTCTCCCTCTCTTCTCTACAAACATATATCGGGACATAGTAAAGAGACGGCCGTCTCTGTACATAGGTCTATCCCGGATTTGTGAGGCCTCCCGACGACCGTGTTTGCCCGCAGGTCCCCACCATCGTTTTTTACACGCGCCGCGTGTGCCCCTCGCAGTGGCCAGGGTCGCCTAGATGTAAAGTGCAAAAAACGGACGATTGCAATAATACGCGGCGGCATTCTGGGGGTAAACAATTGATCCAACCCTAAAAATACTACCCTAAAATCCCGAGTGCAGTTCCGGTACAATTTGGAGACGTACCAATACTAATGACGGTGCTAAGGCCGTTGGGGGGGGGCACCGCGGCGCTCCGGCTACGAGGCGCTCCGCTTAAGCTACTTGGTTTTTAGCTTAAGCCTAGGCTTAACTTGGCTTTAACTAAGTTGACTTACGAGGTCAAAATGGGGTCATTTATGGGCTAGCGTAGAGCTAAGCTTAGCTTGTCTCAAGCTAAGCTCAGGCTTCGTTTGCATGAAGCTAAGCCTAGGCTTAGGCTTAGCTTAGCTTTTCTAGAAGTTTCTAGTTTAAAAACGGCATTTGGAGCGTCTGGTAGTCAAAATCCGGATGGTAAGGCAAGTGCATTAACACCCAAATGACACTGCGTACCCACCCGCTCGACGCAAAAGCTATGTAGGTTAAAAGAAGCGGCTCTCAGGAGTTTCTGGCCCAATTTTTTTTTATTAAATCACTCAAAATACTGGTAATAGTCGAAATGTGGACAAATATTTAATCGACATTACAAAAATATCTTTCGTGAACCAGGTTATTGACAAGGAACCGAAAAACTAAACACACCTTTTTACGGTCATACGAAATTACGGGCTCTCCGGTTTTTGTCTTCTTGTACAGAATTTTGAGCTGATTCCGATTAAGATTTCGAAATTTACTTAATAGATATTTTCAAAAGGTTACAGCTCATTAAGAAAAAGACTTGGTAAGGCCTCTCTGCTATCCTTTATTGTACGGGGATGTAAAGTACACAAAAATGTGCGTCTTGGTTTGGCGAGTATTGTGGTCTACTTGACAGCCCTGTACGAGAAAGGATAACCGAGCTGGGGCGTCATCTGGAGTTTATCCGGAGTTTTTTACCTTGATCGAAACTCGTCAACAGCTTCATTAACCGATCATTTGCAGGGCATGACCGCATTCGGCGCATCCCGCGACGTCAAGGGCAAGCACCTGAAGCGCATCTGGGAACTCGAATTCCCCGAGGAAGCCATCCAAGAAAAGCCCATCAACGCCTCACACGGAAATGGCCAGTGAACGATGGTGCCCTAAGCCATCAGAAAATGATCCCCCATCTTCACTTCCCCTGCCAAAATTGTCTATCCCATGTTTGTATACCGCTTCAAAACATTGCGATGTTGCGCTCTAGTCAAATTTTTTCCTGTTTTGAAAAACCGTCTTAGACGGCCGCATTTTTACCCGAGGACTGCCGTCCGGTGCAAGACCCCTTGATCCCGATTTTCCGAGCATTCTAGTCATTATAACCTGTCAACATCCGCAATCCGCACATTATACGATACGTGTAATAAAGTTTTTGGTTTGACAGGATTTTGGTTACATTATGAAGGGAGCTCTCACTATGCGGCAACAGCTCTCTCTCTCTCTCTCTCTCTCTCTCTCTCTCTCTATTTAATATCTACTAAATAGCGAAAAACAGCCTGCTTTAAAGAAATATATCATTCGAATTAGAAAAAGTCCTCTATCAGATAGGCTGCTTAAAGAGATGAGGACGGCATCTGTTGAACCCCCCTTGGGGAGGGGGGGGTTCAACAGGTCCCGCGGCGATCTCGCGCGAGAGAGGGCTCCCAGCGGAGAGGTGCAGAGACATTTTCTTTCCCTCGCGTAATCGATTGACTTATGCCGCCCCTATCTCTTTAAAATGAATTAGAACCTCAAAACAAAAAACAGAACGACATCATGGCAAATCTTACTCGGGGGTGAAAATTGACACTAAAACTTCAATACCACGAGTTTTAAAAATCAGTAGCAAATTTGGACAACGATGTGATGATCAGCTTCGTCGATTTTAGCTGTATGCAAATTTTCAGCCAATTCTGAGTCCGGGTTTATACTGGCTTCCCTAGTTAGTCTAATCCTAAGCCTAAGCTACGCTCGATTCATGTTGACGATCTGCATGTTAACATGAATCGATGTTGATCATCATCTATGTTGCTATTTGTTGTTGACGTAATCGTCGTAGAAGAAGGGTACACGGGTACTAAAAACAAATTTTATAAATATTTGTGCCCATATTGAGGTTGGAAATACGACGAAAACAATCGAAATGAATATAAATACGATCAGGGACGTAGCGTAATACAGGCCCCGGGGGCCCGGGCCCCCCGAAATCGGCCGGGGCCCGAAAATTTCATAAGGGGGGACCCTTATGATTTTTATTTTCTCAGAAATTTTGCTGCCTGCGGCGCTATTTTTTTCACGTTTTTACGGCTATTTGTAAGTCTATGCAACCTTTTTTTCAAACATTTTTGCCTGCGGCGCTGTTTCTTCGGTAATGTTTTGAGTTTTTTGGAAACATTTTTTCGGCCCCCCCCCCCGAAATTTTTTTCTGGCTACGTCCCTGAATACGATGCTCTCACAACAAGCTGGCAGATTCAGCTTCCCCTCGAAATCGCCTGTCAGCAACTCCTCACTCTCAAATGTTTACTTCAATTTATGGTTCTTTTGCGTTATCGGGGGGTGGAGAACCAATTTTTTCCGAGGATTCCATTTTTCCACTTTTTTATTATAAATATTCGAAGTGTCTCTAAGCTCTAACTTTTTTCAACTAACTAACTTTCTAACTCTAATTAAAAATTTTGATTGAAAAAATAGATTTTTCGAGCAAGATCGCAACAACAGAAAAATTTCTATGGGTTTTTATTATTTTTGCCCTTAAAATATGGCTACATTTCACTAGGGCGCTATTAAGACAGTTACTACTACGTTACTAGGAATTTGTGAGCTTATAGGCTACAGTTGTTTCCCCAAAAATCGTCATTTTTGCCGCCTTTTTGACGACCTTATGTGGGAAGAAGCTGGCGTGTTATTTCCATCCACTCATACAGCGGGTATTTTGCCAGATGTTTGTCGGGAGAAACGGGCGATCCAAGAGCCCGCCGGAATATCGAAGGAACCCGGCGCCCCCCCGACCGAATACCGATCAACCGAAAGGCTCAACTGAATACGGATCAAACGGAATGTCCGACCATGACAGCCCACCAAACAGCTTCGGCTTAGAACTCAAACCTTCAATAGTAGTCACATTTTAAATAGGAAACCTTCATAAACAGTTAGAAAATGTTTGTGACATTCAGAATTTCGGGTCATTTTAGGCCCAAAAACGAATTTATCCCTAAAATAGAATTTTTTAAATAAAAATCTCTAAGGTTTTTGGGTTTTAGGTTTTTACGTTTTCACGGTAATCTGGAATTCGACCGAAAAACACGTGTTATTTCCGTGGGAAATGGGTGATTTTTGGGCTGAAAATTCGATATTTTTGTATTTTTGATGAAAATGTGTAATGTTTTTCATCTCTATTATTACAACCACTCTTTATTGCATTCTTACACTTATATATTAAAATATTTCCTTAGGACGAGAAACGCAGACCAGATTGGGAGGCATCCAAACAACAGGTAAGCTTTTGAACTTTTCATTATAACAAAGTTTTTTGGTTCTTTGGCGCTAACGGGGGAGGGGGTGGAACCTCTTTTCGGCTGGCCTTTACTTCACCCAGGTTTTGGGCAATTCCAATCATCCAATTCCAGGGCAATTCCGGCCATTTGTCGTGGTTTTCGCTAAGCCATACGATAGAGCATCAAAGAATATACGTAAGTTTTAATTAAACCCCCAAATAAATGTAATATAGAAAAGTTAAAGCGAAAAATATTTTGGGGCCACCGGCTGGGGGAGGAAGAGTGAAGTGAACCGTCGCTTTCACTTTCTATTCTTAATTCATATCCTGGAAGGACAAGGAAATAGCAGCAGCCGAGAAGATGCTCGAGGAATCGAAGGAGCTCAACCGGAGCCCTGCGGTTGAGCGAAATATAGTCAGTTTCTAAGTTGTAGCATTACCCCGCATTTAGGGTCGCTCGGACATGGACAACGCAACGTACCTGCGAAACCGCGAGCTGAGAAAGGCCTGTTACGAGTAAGGATCTCACCTTTTCAAATTTTTTGCAAGAGTCTTTTGCATCCTGTTTAGAACCAAAAACAAAAGTTTAAAACGTTAATCTTCACTGTTTAGATTTTCTCTAAAAAAGTTCTTATTTAACGGGCTATTTAAATTTTTTATTAAATTCATCAAATTAAATCTACTGCGTTTCTAAATTGTTTTTTATTGTTGAGGATAAGAACGTTAGACAATTTGAGATAAAGATATGGTAGACTGCAGTTTACCGCCCCCCACTTTTGTATCTCGGCTGCCCGTCATCGTACAAGTGTGTGAAATATAACAAAATGTTCGCCTTGTTCTGGCGAGTATTTTGGTGTACTTTACAACCCGGTAGAATAACGGGCAGCCGAGATACGGTAGGTGGAGGGGAATTTCGAAAAATTGAAAAATGCTTTTTTTTAACCCAAAATCCCCAGGCCTGTTAGAAGCCAGGCCAGATTGCTCTCTGTCGGGCAATTCATAGCCAAAAACAAATCAAAACCTTTAATTTAGCTTACTGATGACTGATCGGGTGCCCGAGGGGTGGCCTGGCACCCAGAAATGGGAGCAAGATGGACCCCAACCGCGAGGTAAATTGCATTCTTACACTTATTACTAAAACCTTTCCTTAGGACGAGAAACGCAGACTAGATTGGGAGGCATACAAACAACAGGTAAGCTTTTGAACTTTTCATTATAACAAAGTTTTTTGGTTCTTTGGCACTAACGGGGGGAGGGGCGCAACCTCTTTTCGGCTAGTCTTTACTTTCACCCGGGTTTTGGGCAATTCCAGCCATTTTTCGGGGTTTTCGCTAAGCCATACGATAGCGCACCAAAGAATTTACGTAAAGTTTTAATTAAACCCCAAATAAATGTAAGATAAAAAAGTTATAGCGAAAAAAATTTTGGGACCATCGGCTGGGGGAAGATAAAGTAAAGTAGTCCAGAAAGGCCTAGTTACGTAATAACAATTGTGTTATCAATGTTTTTGGTGTGTATTCAGTGCAAAAAACCATAAAAAAACTATAGATTTTTAGTCAAATTTAGTCGAAAATTGATCTTTTTTTTGTATTTTTTAAGATCGAAAGTTGTAATTTTGAACGTTTAAGAATAGTATAAACTCCTGTATTTATTTGCAATAACTATATCTTGTCTGACTGTCGGTCTGTCATTAGATGTAAATGTCCCCGAGACCAAAAAAGCGATTCGCGAAAAATCGCGATTTCTGATCCTGGATTTAATTTCTTTTTAATTTTCTTTAGTTTTTGCTGTTTGCTGTCTGTTCGGAAACAACTAGGATTTTCCGGAAGTCGGCGGAAGCGAGCTTTGGCACTGAGAAATGGGAGCGGGACAACAAGCACTACGAGAAAGCCAAGGTCGCAACCAGGGAAAAGACGAAGCGGGACCTTCAAAGCATCAAAGTAACTTAATTATTTATTCGATCGATATTCTTTTGGAACTTGATTTTTGCTTTTCAGCCTTATTTAGCCGACGCCTTTTCCATTGCCAAAATTCGCCAACAGCTTCATTAACCGATCATTTCCAGGGCATGACGGCATTCGGCGCATCCCGCGACGTCAAGGGCAAGCACCTGAAGCGCATCTGGGAACTCGAATTCCCCGAGGAGGCCATCCAAGAAATGCACCGATTCACCGAGCATTCTAGTCATTATAACCTGTCAACATCTGCAATCCGCACATTATACGATACGTGTAATAAAGTTTTTTTTGGTTTGATAGGATTTTGGTTGCATTATGAAAAAAGATCTCACAATTCGGTAACAGTTGTCGCTGTTTTCTCTTTTCTTTTTATTCGAAGCTCATTTTTTAATTATTCCGGAGCATATTTCGACGTAGTTTTGCAGCTAGATTCCGAAAAACTTAGTGAGAACCGCTGGCTCTGGGAAATTGCCGAAAACCGCCGTTGCAGTTTCGACGTTGCAACGAGCGGTGCAATGATGCGGCAACATCTTTCTCTCGCTGTCTCTTTCTCTTCTCCCTCACGTTTTGAAATTCATTCCGAAGCATATTCCAACGTAGTTTTTTATGTGGATTCCAAAGCTTAGTGAGAACAGCTTGCTCTGGGCCAAAAACCCCCAAAACAACCATCAGAGCATTCGAATCCTACAAGGCCGGTCCACGATGCGGCAACATTTTCTCTCGCTGTCTCTGTTCTCTCTAGCTCTATAATAATCATTCTGAAGCAAATTGCGATATAGTTATGCATGCAGGTTCTGAAAATTCAGGGTGAACACTGACTCTTGGGAATGGGGCCTCAAAACCGCTGTTGAAGTCCCGATGATGAAACGAGAGGTTGAGATGATACGGGAATATCTTTCTCTCTCTGTCTCTCTCTCGCTTAAATTCCGCTTTAGTGAAATTATTCTGAAGTATATTCCGACGTAGTTTTGCATGTAGATTCGGCAAATATTAGTGCGAACAGCTAGTTCTGCGAAAATGCAGCCAAATCGATCTTTCAAATAGCTACGATGCAACGAAGGGTGATGACAATACGACATTCTCTCGCTGTCTCTCTCCTACCTCTCACTTTCTAAAAATTTGTCCAAAACGCTGTGCGACGTAGTCTTGCATGTAAATCCAAAAGTCTTAGTTCTGCGCTATTCTGTGTTATTCGGTGCTCGCAACATTGCAAAAGCTTCTAGATTTATGGAATTGGACAGTGGGGGGGAGCACAGGATGATCGAACACGGTCGGGAATAACAATATCAAGGGGAGTGGAAAGATGGGAAAAATAGGATATACCCAGAGAGTGAAATGGCTTCAATTTGCGGGAAGGACGCGATTTTGGAATCTCGAATTTTGGGGGGTTGGTGAGCAATATAGAGGGGGCAATGGCTAAAGCGAAGGAAATGGGAGGGGGGGGGGGGAAATAGGAATGTGTGAATCGCAGGAAAGTCAGTCATTTGGGCGGAAGTGGGGAATCTCTCATACACAATATTTACTAGGCATAATCAGCTTTATACAGCCACAATATGGGGTCGGTTGGTCCACTAGATACGGGGAAAGGAAAAGCACTTTAGACACCGGAATTCAATAGATAACAATTTTTAGGTAATAATATTTTTGTAATCATTTCTTCTTCTTGTTCTTCGTCTCGACGGCCAGTACCTTCAATGCGGGTGAGATCGGCGGGCTGAAAAAGTGTATGTAATTTTTAGTGGAGTATTTACTTACTAGAGGAGCCCGAACAAGCCCGGACTAGGAACTGGCTGAAAATTTGCACAGATTGCTACTGATCTTTAAAAGTCGAGATATTCCACTTTTAAAGGGGCTCCGAAATCTGGTCCACGGCCCCCCTGCTGTGATTTCTGGCAAATAGCCAGATGCGACCGCAACGCGACCGCGCCGCATGGTCTTTTGCCCCTGCTTGGACGCGAAAACGCTAGAATTTAAAAATTCTGATGCTATTTTTGGAATCTTCATCAAATTTTGATCATTCTAGACTTTTAATTTATGAAAATTGGCCAGAGAATCACCGAGATCGAGAGATTGGGTGCCTTACAACGCATTACGACAGGTAATCGCCGCGCACTCAAAATGTCGTTTTCGCCCCAAAAAGAATTCGGATTTTCTCAAATATTTTACTTTTTTTCGCAATGAAATCACTTTTCTGGCACTTATCGGCAGTGACCCTTGCGTTTTTTGACCAGTAGATTCAATCTCCGCACGCACGAATTTTGACTTCTGAGCCCCTTTAAGGCGATCCTTTAGTTAAAATCGTCAAATTTGAGCTCGGCTATTTTGATCTTCCCGCCGCTTGTTTTGAGAAAATTTCTTTTTTTGAATAACTCTAACTCAAAATTTTCGAAAACTGGAAAAATTGGCGTTAACGAAAAACTATCTGGACCCCGATTTTTGTATGGGAACTGGTGAAAAACAGCCTGCTTCAAACAGCTGTAAGATGCCGTCTAGTACGAAGCCTGCTTTAAAGAAATGTACCATTCGAATTAGAAAAAAATTCGCTATCAGATAGGCTGCTTAAAATAAACTAGAACTTCAGAACAAAAAGGAACGGCATAATTGCAAAACACTTTTCGGGGCGGGGGGGGGGGGGCGAAATTGACACTAAAAGATAAATATATCGAATTTTAAAGATTATTATCAAATTCGGAAGGTGATGATCAGCGTGATCGATTCTCTCTGTGTGCAAATTTTCAGTCAATTCCGAGCCGGGGTTTCCTCGGGTTCCTTCTGGTTAGGCGAATCGCCCACAAAAGTTATGCCAATCACGACGACGTGGATGAGGAACAAGGCCGAATTGTTTTTATTGATTTTAAACGTGAAAGTCTGTGTTAGGGGGACAATGACATGGCTGACGATCAACACTACCTAACTGCAGCTTCAGTATGAGTCCTGGCTAGAAAGAAACGGGGTTTAGTTTGTCGGTGTTTGGGGAGGTACTTACACAGCTGCTTGCTCCTTCCGGCCGGCACATGTAGGGGAGATGAGACGGGTCTGAAATGAGTTGACCTTTGGAGGGAGGGATGTCTAAGTTTAAGCCTAAGCTCAGCCTAAGCCCACGCATATGTTTAAGCCTAAGACTAAGCAAACCGAAGCCTAACAAGGGAACCTCGCGGAGACATGGTGGAATTTCGGAAAACGCTCGCGGCTACCCCCGGGTAATCGGCCATTGCGATCACGATGCGCTTGTCAGATTTTTCTAAATAGACCTGTGGACAGAGATACAGCACTTCCGGAAAATGCTGATTTACATGCAAAAAATTTGCATAGAAGGATGGTTTATGAGGCTCTCCCATCACTATGGAATCACCAGTTGAATGGCCGAGTGGTAAGGGACTCGCTTGACAGGATTCTGACGAGGGTTCGAATCCGCTCACGATTTTATGTTTTTGCTTTTTGGCCAGTGATTTTTGTACAAATCCAGAATGTTACTAGTAATAGCCCGAAATCCCTAATGTTTAGCCAAATCGAAAAAATCGAAAAATGAAAGCAGTTCTGCCGGCTAGAGTTCCTACACCTGACCATCTGCAAAAAAAATGAAAAAAATTTTACAAGAATAATTTTCTGACCACGTAACGTCGACCACTGTCATAAAATTTAGAAGTACTTTAGCACGTATGGTTTTGGACTTGTACAAAAATTTCTGTCCAAAAAGCAAGAACAAAAAAATCGTAAGCGGATTCGAACCCTGGTCAGAATCCTATCAAGCGAGTCCCTTACCACTCGGCCATTCAACTGCTGATTCCATAGTGATGGGAGAGCCTCATAAACAATCCTTCTATGCAAATTTTTTGCATGTAAATCAGCATTTTCCGGAAGTGCTGTATCTCTGTCCACAGGTCTATTTAGAAAAATCTGACAAGCGCATCGTGATCGCAATGGCCGATTACCCGGGGGTAGCCGCGAGCGTTTTCCGAAATTCCACCATGTCTCCGTGAGGTTCCCTTGTAAGCCTTCGCCTAACTAGGGAAGTGCAAATAAAAAATCCAGCAAACCGCTTAGCAAAAATATGGGTCTGATAGAGTCGGCGACGGGGATTCCGAAACTGCAATCAGAATTTGCTAAACGCTTAATACAAAATAGTTATGAGCATTTTAAGTTTTGCACTACATGCTCCGCCCTCCCTTATGAGCCCTCCCAAAGATGGGTGTCCGCCTGTCGAGTGGTGTAGTGGCTAACTAGCATGCCTCTGGGGCGGAGGGTCTCTGGTTCGACTCCCCGGTCATGCAAAACTTTTTGCTTTTTGGTCAAAGTCAACAACTTTAGACTTTTTCAAAGTTTCGAGTTTCAAAGAGTTAGTAAGTCTTCGCCAAAGCGCATGCCTCTCTAAGCCTATGCCCAAGCCTAAGCGAAGCCTAAATAACCCAAAAACTAACCATTGCAGGCGGGGTTGAATTGCGATCATTGTTCATATGATTAGCGTGGAGTATCGTTTCGCGCTCGAGCAGGGTTCTCCATTTCTCATTCAATTCTTCCTCCTTCACACGAAGACGTTCCTGAAAAACATTTTTCTTTGCTAAAAACCTGAAAAATCTGAGAAAAAGCTATTGCTGAAGAACTGACCTCCAGATGCTGCTTCTTCGCCTCCAGATCCTCGCGATCCTGATTCAACTTTGATTCCCCGTCTCGAAGTTCTTGCTCCTTTTTGCGCAGCGCCTAGAAATATTAGCGTTGCAATGTATCAGGTTGGAAAGAAAGTAATGGCACAAAATCTTTAAACCGCTGTAAAAACCCGCAGGAACGTCCGATTTGAAAGTTTGATATATGGTTTGGTAGATCTTCGGATGCTCTATCACGAGACGCTCCTCAAAAC